GCTTATTCTAATTAGCTATCTCCACAGTGATGCAACTTCTTATGTAGCAATACTGTACTGATTTGGTGATTTAAAAGTCTTCTTATCAATGGCAAAAGAAATTTGCTGCTTCACAGGTAGAGACAACTAGAACAGCTTTAATTCTCTACACATTTCTCAGTTGCACTCATCTTCTGGTGGCAGTACCTGTGATTCAGTGATCCTGATTTCCAGAAATCCCAGTCATTCCCTTGAACCCCTGGATTGCCCAACTATCCCTCTGAACCCCAGCTTTTCTTCGTTACTTGGAAACACAATCAATAAGAGTATCTCTGGATGTCTTATGAGATATCATCTTTCCCTCCTCCTTGCATGGCGCTTTATTCATGATCTTAGATTTTCGGTTTTGAGTTTCCTCTGTCCTCTTGGTGTCCTGGTCTGGAGAAGTAATATCCAAATAGGGTCAATTTTCTTCTCTCTCCTGTGGGGGTGGCCTTTGGTCATTCCTAGAGATACTGCAGTTTCATTGGAGTCACACAAGGATTCAGAAAGTATGAGTCATTGCCTGAGAAGCCCATTTGCTACCAGGCCATGCCAGAGCTCCTTAGGAGTGCATTGTCGGAAGCCAGGCTCTGAAATATGAAGTCTGCATTTGTAGAAGACAGTGGTTCCATGAGTTTCCAGTAAGTGAATCTTTTGACATGATTCCTGCAGTGTATCCAGTGTTTGGTTATCACGAAGGTACTCGCTCAGGTCACAAACAGTGAGGTTTTGGGGCTGGTGAAAAATATTATAAAATAAAAGCCAAAAAGTTTGTGACTTTTTAGTTCATAGCCCAGTTAATATATTGGAATAGGCACAATGCATTAACTTTGTAAGTTGCTAACTGCTAACTGGTGTTGATTCCTTCCCATGTGAATTTTTTGAAACAGATTGACAAGGAACAGTATAATAAAATCCTGGATCTCATTGAGAGTGGGAAGAAGCAAGGAGCCAAACTGGAATGTGGCGGAGGCCCCTGGGGGAACAAAGGCTACTTCATCCAGCCCACAGTTTTCTCTAATGTGACAGATGAGATGCGCATTGCCAAGGAGGAGGTAAAGGCTTCACTCCCTTTGCTGCCTTTGCTGGCCTGTTTCTCTGTATGGGTGGGTACTATCTGTCTGTGTAAACTTGTCAGCTCATAGGCCTCTTTCTCGGGACATTTTATCAGTTGCTTCTGCTACTGATAAAGGTTTAAGACTGAAATCAGTGACAAATTCATTGGTCCTGCCACAAATTTCAGCCCAACACAGGCCAGGGTACTCAATGATCTTCAGGGGTTTCCTTCACAGCTTTAAGTCACAGGAAAGGGTCCTGGCAGTAGTGACAACATGCATAGAGTTGGAGGACAAGTTCAGTGATATGTAGCAGCCACAGAAACCCCGATCCTGGATGATTTACAACTGTGGGCAGAATCTAGGAGCCATAGAGGCAGAGAATGGAATGGGGTGTTCAGGAGCCCTGTAGGGCAGCAAGGATGAGGATCTGAGACACACTGGTCAAAGGACATAGAGTCTTGCTCATACAGCAGGAATAAACTAAAGGAATCTGCTGACAGATGATGACTACAGCGGCCATGTGTCACAGGTAATCTCATCCCCTAAATAAGTACATGCTGACATCCTTCGAATGGGGGGCTACATTTGCCCTGTGGTCATTTCTACATCAGAGCCAGTGTACACGTGAAGATAACATTCATCTACATCACTTCATTCCTATCACAGGCCTGTGGCCCACATTCTTCAGCAGTGAGCATCCATAGCTTTATATAAATAAAAATAAAGGGTATT